TAATCTCCCTAACGAAACAAACAACTTTGGTCCTGGCGTTGTTTCTGTATCTTGTTTAGTTTCAGAGTTACAAAAAACATCTTCGCTGGGAGTAGAACCCAGGACAGTTTTCAGGGTTGTGGTCTTTGTTTTTGCAGTCTCATCGTCGATTTTAACAAATCTTCACAGTCTCTATCACACCATGTTTGCGTACAAATTAAAAATTGTGAGGATTACTGCTGTGTCTTACGATTGCTAGCAATTTGGACATACAGCACAGCAGAATACGGAATAACAAAGAATCTGTCATATTAAATTCACATTTTGTGATATTTAATAGCCATGAAACAGGTCTGCATCTTCGACAGACCTCGAGTCGCGATTCACTTCAGACTACATTTAAGTCAAGCTTTTTGCGACTTTTAAACTGAAGAACTTTCGAGATAAAATGCGAATAAAATATCCATCTGCGTTATCGGTGGGGTTTAAAGTCACACCCTACAAAAAAAAAAAACAGGTGTTCTTGGCCACCACACGCGATCTCACATTTATTTTGCGTGATAACGGTACTTTTAATTTGATTTTTTATTAATGTATTTGTTGAATGATTCAGTACTTTTATGCATTTTCGGGATAGCATTATGTTAGGTATCAGTTTTTCACACTGACTAATCATACCTAACAGATGTTCCAAAATATAGCGTTATTAATATAATGATTAAAATCAGGCTTTAAATCAAATCTGGGATGAGTCCCACTTGACTTTGCCATACGGAATTGTAGGTATAGAAAATATGTGTCCTACATCAGTGGTATTCAACCATTTTTGTTCACGTACCCCCAGATATAATTTCTCTTCAACTTTGTACCCCCAAAGTTGTTGATGTATAATTCAAGTTATACATAGTATATAATCCACATCTAAAATAAATTAAATAAATTACATCCAAAATAATGTATTAAATCTGGCCCTGATTATTCGGTGCTTATCATAAAATAATATTTTTTTAAAATTTCACGTACCCCTTAAGATATCTTCGCGTACCCCCGGGGGTACGCGTACCCCAGGTTGAATACCACTGTTCTAGGGTACCGGAAACGTACATGCTCCAAAATATGTTTTTCGTTTTTCCGAATTACAGAACTGGGATAATCTTTATATCATGTTTATATTATCTACCCATCGACACGGGCCGAACTGGACTTTCCGAGGGTCGTATTTCGTCTCGTATAATAAGATCAGAACTCTGTTACAAATCGTGGAGCTCAGGGAAATGATTAAGTTAGAGCAGTAGGTGACTTAATTCAACGGATATTGGCACTTTCAGTTAGTACACGCGTGACATGAATCCACAAAAGGAGGTTTCGTGTATGACCGATTTGCATTGACGTTATAATCACAACACATACAAAAAAAAATGTCAGCAACGTATTTTCCACAGACATGGGTCTAATCAATTTATGTTGATTCATCTTATCCTTTAATATAAAATAAGTCATTCGGTATATGTAGGTTATAATGTATAAAACGAACTATAGGATTGTCCACGGCAGTTTCTTAAGTAAGCAACCAAATGAGATGTAATGTTTAAAGTGACAATACTCAAGGTCATACGGCGCCCCGTGATAAATAGTATAAAATATGTGTAATGTCACATCTTTGAGTTTCGAGAACCTGCTTGTAATGCTTGTAAGAATAATTGTTTGTTTTTCCAGTTCACTTTAATCATTTGTATCGACCTTTTATTATTAAGTTGACCAAAACACTGAGTGAGTCAATATTTTTCGTGTTCAATATACCAGCAGTTACTTTGTTTCTTTTATTCATTCATTTCTGTCGGGAATTACTCTTCGGTATTTGTTATTGATATTGCTAATTATTTTTATTCTGTTCTGGATCATATTTTTTTTACCGAAGGCTACGATTTAATGGCTAATGTTTCTGTTAGTACTAGTCAAATCTCGGGTTCAAATCTCGGCCTGCAGACCGGATTTTCTAACTGGTTTTATTCTTGGTTTTCCCCTGTCTCACTCCTTCCTTCTACTTTTTTCTAATTCATCTTTCGTCGCCATCGTAAATTTCAAGTACAAAAAACAACACAGTTGATAAACAGTCGTTATATTAGCTATGACTAAATAATAGGTATATATATATGTCACTGTCATGACTTTTATGACATTTCAGGTTCTCACGGCGGCGAGAATGAACATGATTGTCTTCTGGGATATTGCACCATGTAGTATGGCAGTAGTTTACCGACGTTTCAGAGTATCTTACTGTCTCTATCATCAGAGCGATGAGTCCTTAGTCATCTTGGTAGGGCTTCCATTTGTAAATTGCTTGTTATTTATATTAATGATTTGTTTCAAATTTTTGAAGCCTATGCCACATTTCTATATAAGCTACCATCATTAGAATCGAATCATTTGTCAAATAAAAATGCGTGCGGACAAAGGTGTAGGCCTACACTAATTACACGTGATCAACACTCTGAAACTAAATCTCTGACAACAGGCTCCGAAGGTTCGAAGTCCCTAATACAAAATCCCGATCTACATTCGATCCTCGCAACCTTTTTCCTTTACCCTACGACCTTCTTGGTATTTCAGTAATTGATTTACAGCAAATTCTATCACCAAAATTCTGTACGAATTTTTCTTCTATCTTCCCGAGCTACATTCTTCCTAGATTTCACTGTAGTGATCAACATAAATGGTACACTGTATACATCTCAATTTTCCCCTTTATTTAATGTCTTAAACGGTTTGCTTACTTACTCCCTCTTAGATTCAAATTCTTGAGCACGTTGTTTTCAAACATCTGTAATGTATATTCCCGGCGGTGCCCGAATTTATAACTTGTGTTGGGCAAGGCCGTGGTCTAGGCAACACGGAGTTTTCCTCCGGGGGCTTCCCCGGTTTCTCCGTGGCATCCCAACAATTACTCCATTCACACACAGAAGAAGGCAATGGCAAACCACTTCTGGATCATCTGCCAAGAACGTATATGAACAGGTCCCAGTCCGAGAAAAGGATGGAAGGATCCTGTTCATATGGACCTGTCGTCAGACAGAACACTAAATAAAATACGCAAGAAACTGCACTTCACATTCATACAGTACGTTTATAACTTTCGAGTTTTGCTGTTCAGA